TTGCTCTGGCAAAACACGGCTGATGCATTTGTTCTTGCTACTGGTTTGTTTTCAAGTGTTTGTTTTAGCATTTGGCATTTGGCATTTAAATCCTTCAGAGGATTTAAATGCTATAGTTTGAGATATACTATAACCTGTGTCAACACAGAGATACATTCCCTCAGTGTTACTTGGTGAGATCAAGTCACTCACCACAGGGAGGAAAAGCTTTTAGGGTGGCAGGCAACTTGGGGTGGCCTCCTAAAATAAGTCTAGCAAAACAAATGCAGATGGCTTTTAGAACAGGCAAGACTGCTCAGATGAGAATACATTTGGAACTGCAGTTGAGCTAAGTACTCAAGAAGCTCATTTTGAATCTCTTTGTAATGTTGTTTTATGGTTGTTATTAAGAGCAGACACTATTGCAGTTAACGTTGCAACCATCTTGTATTTTATGAGGTAGATATTACTGCACAAAATAAGCGCCAATAAGATCCTCGGGCAAACCTTTGCTCCCCAGTCTAATCCCTCCTCCCAGGATTTGTCTTTGTAAAAAGAGAAGATAGATACACAGGCAGATGAAAAAGAGAAGGAAATCTATGGATATACTATATAAAGGTTGGTTCTAAAATTTCTGGACTGCTTTAACCAGTAAATGTTTTCTTACTTCTTTTTGAAAGTTATAGAGTCTTTTTTCAATAGAAGTTTCAGGAATTCTAGGAGTTCAAAGTGGGATTTAAAATAAAAGCACTGTATATAAATAATAAATTTAATAAATAAAGAAATATATAAACTATCTCATGGCTGTTCTGTTATTACATTTGATGAAGGGAGCTTTTACTGTGATATCACTCTTAATTATACAGTTTTGTTCTGGATGTTTGTTGCCAAATGATTGTTTTTAAAAATTGAAAAATAACAATTCAATTCTGATTTTTACTAATTATACTCCTTCATTTATTGTTCTATACTTACAATCCTGACATCTGTCTCCTGTATGTTCAGGCTGACATTGACAGTGGGGCTGATTTCCAGCAGTCACAGTACAGGTTCCTCCATTCTGACAAAAATGATCACAGACTGTTTTATTGCAGTTTGGACCTGTAAACCCCAGTGTACAACTGCATGCAGGTCTTCCTACAAGACAAAATGAAATATCTGGTAGGGGAGCTCTACTTATGTACACTTAAAAAAAAAAAAAGCATCCTTCTAAGTTATAGAATACAGGTAAATCAATCAGCATCACATGACATCTATAAATATTTTAAACATATATACAGTTAGTCCTAGTTTAGCAACCACAAGTTGGGACGGGCAACTTGATTGTTAAGCAAAGTGGTCACTAAGTGAA